AACTCCTTTGATCAAGTAGCGGTAAACATTCTCCCAGGTCACGGATGAAAGCTCGGCCCTGTTTCCAGCGTTCGGTCTGGCCACGAAATCACAGACCCCTCTGTTCGGCCGCCCGGCTCTCTTTCGCACGTCTCTTTATGACACTTTTCCCCTGACTAAATATAGAACCGGGGTACTGCACGCCGGCGAAAAATCGCTAAATCGTTTACACCAACCGAAACGTTCTCCACTGTGTGAGATGATCGACAATTACGCAGACCGAGCCCTTTGTGTGGTTCGAGCGCGCGGTGAAGACAGGAAGTGTTTGAAGAATGGAAGTAGATTTAGGAAATGTCGAGTTGCAGAATAATATTTATATCCTCTGGTAGAGTGTCTTCGATTTTAATAGTTTCCCACGGTACGAACATTTATATGGAAGCAACTGGAAGTTTAGTTATTGCAACAAGAATCCTCGCTGATAGAAACGTGTATTGGAACTTGTATTTTAAAAGTTGTCTCTCAGTGAAATTTTAAAATTTCTAAGAATTTTGTAGAAAGTATTTCTACGATTCACTGTAGCCGCTGCATAGTTTTCTTTCAGCGGAGCCAGCGAGAGAATCGCACGGTAGAAACAAACCGGGAAGGAAACGTCGACGCTGCGACGCGATCGCAATAAAAACCGACACCTTCCGTCTTTCACGAGCTAACCAACCAACGAGCTTTCTCACCAAACTTCCCTCTCGTCTGTTTCAGATTCCCCTGGAAGATGCGACGGCTCGTCAAGAGAACCGTCTAGCCGAAGCTGAAAAACCTTCCACGTTGCGATCGTTCGTGTCCCAAGAGCCAGGACAATCAACGAGAAGCAACTCGCGAAACTGAGCGAGCGTCGTAAAAAAAGGGGGAGGAAAAAAGAAGAGAGATCCGTGTACAGGTGTATCGAGCGCCGGATCTTCTGCCGGTTTGGAAAATAGAAGAAAAGGAAAAAAATGAGAGGCAAGACGGGAATCGGGAGGAAGAAACGCGGCGTCGACGACCGATCGACGACCTGATAGGACCGGATCTCCGGATTGAAAGAACGCGCGAAGAGGTGGGCTGGCGCGGCGACCGTGCGACGAAAAATGAACGAAAGCGCGGTCTACCTGCTCGGATCGGAAGAAGAGGCAAACGTACCGAGCAATCAGCTGAATCGTAGTTTCTACAGCGCGAGCTACCCGCCGCAGAACCGCACCGGCGGCGAGGATCTCTGGAACCTTGCCACCGACAGAGCCGGTCTAGCGATACTCCTGTTCCTGTTCTCGGTCGCCACCGTGTTCGGCAATATGCTGGTGATCCTGGCGGTGGTGAGAGAGAGGTATCTCCACACAGCGACCAATTACTTCGTCACGTCGTTGGCTTTCGCCGACTGTCTGGTCGGGCTGGTGGTGATGCCGTTCAGCGCGATATACGAGGTGCTGGAGAATCGTTGGCTATTCACCACGGACTGGTGCGACGTCTGGCGTTCGTTGGACGTTCTCTTCTCGACCGCGTCGATCCTGAATCTCTGCGTTATCAGTTTGGATCGTTACTGGGCCATCACCGACCCGTTCACCTATCCGAGTAAAATGAGCAGGAAACGCGCGGCCATTCTCATCGCCACCGTGTGGATTTGCTCGAGCGCGATCTCGTTCCCGGCGATCGCGTGGTGGAGGGCTGTCCGCACGGAGGAAGTGCCGGAAGACAAGTGCCCGTTCACCGAGCACCTCGGTTATCTGATCTTCTCGTCGACGATCAGCTTCTATTTGCCCCTGTTCGTGATGGTGTTCACCTACTACAAGATCTATCGGGCCGCCGTGTTCCAGACCAAGAGCCTGAAGCTCGGCACCAAGCAAGTTATAATGGCCTCCGGTGAATTGGAGCTCACTCTGAGGATACATCGAGGAGGCGGGACAAACACCGACGCCAGGCACCTGTTCCGCACTGCCTCGAGCACGCCGGAGGACCTCCAGGATCTCGAGGAGCCTCTGACCGCCATGCACAACAACTGTTTAACCAGGGTCCCCTCGACGAGGATCAATAAACAGCACCGGGGCAACAATTTCTCGCTGTCGCGCAAGCTGGCCAAGTTCGCCAAGGAGAAAAAAGCCGCCAAGACGCTGGGCATCGTAATGGGCGTCTTCATCATCTGCTGGCTGCCGTTCTTCGTCGTGAACCTCTGGTCAGGATTTTGCTCGCAGTGCATATGGCAGGAGAAGATCGTGTTCGCCGCGGTGACGTGGCTCGGCTGGATCAACAGTGGTATGAACCCGGTGATATACGCCTGCTGGAGCAGAGACTTCCGCAGGTAAGCTTCTTGATTGTCTTCGAATCAACTTTATTACTCTTACTCTCTGTCTGGTGAAAATCTTCTTGAAATTTCATTCTCGAGGAGATGTACGAGGAATTCCGTCCTTTCGTGCCCCGGAAAAGTGTACCTACGACGATACGTTTACCGATACCGCTGCTAACTGATTGGCGAGACATCGGTAAACGCGTCTCTCGATGCCACCGGCGAAGTTAATGGGCTTGTAACTACATCAGACAGTTGCGGATTGCGACGGAGAATTAATGAGTAAAGAGAGACGAGCCGCTAATAGGATCGTGGGTAAATGTGTTTCGACCGAGCCCACGCATCAACGAGTCACGTTGTTGAACGGGAAACACGAGTTGGCTCGATTGAAATCCAGAATCAGACGGCTGAGTAGTTGCGTCCGATCTCTCCAAAATAATTAATTAACGCGACAGGTTACTTTCCAAATTACTCCCCTTTCTCGAGAACTCTCTTCAAATACCATAAAAAGCCTAAATACCTTCGGGGGGAAAAGAGGTTAGCTGGAAAAATATGCCGCAAGGAAGTTAGCTAACCTTATTACGAGGCCTCCAGCACCTTCACAAACCAATCTCGACTCGAAACAGAGCGATCTTAGAACGATTAACGGCGTGCAACGATATCGATAGTCAATCTCATGGAAAATACAAATCACGAGAGTAGAAATTCTCGCCCGACGTAAAACAGCTCCGAACACGATGGTGTTACGATCGATCCGATCCGATCAATTGTAAACCGGCTTTGGATATAAAGCGCTTTCCGAACGACCGCGCGGCAAATATTTTCCTATTTTTCTAACCGGATGGAAAATGGCACACGTGGGCTGATTGTTCGGACACGGTGGCAACGATCGCAGGAGGGTCGGGGAAATGTTCTGTTTGAACGAGCTTAAGCTACAGTGACAAATCACCGGGCGCAACTTCCGGTATGTTGGCTGTCCCCATCCGCGTTCGCGATTGGATGCACTGAATAATTGGCGACAAAGTTCCAGGAGAAAGCGGAAGGTATGCAAATAACGCGATTTAATTACGCGTTGCCGTACTCGTTCGCGAGGAGGAGACCCCCCCCCCTCTCCTCCACGCCGAAAATGGAACGTGAAAACCGTGGCAGGAATGAATTTCCCGCGAACACGAAAGAATCCACGTTATTTTAACAGCTGTCATTGTCCTTTTAATTAAATCCTACTTACGGGATGCTGCGTATCGTTAAGGCGAGCCGTCCGCGTGGTAAAACACCGTAGCTCCATTGTATCGCGTATGGGATCGATCCGTTGGCCACGGCTGGCACGGTTCCTATCAATCTTTTCCCGGTTGCGAGCGCGGAAACGAGGCGTCTTCCGACTGATTTTTCAAAAAGTCGTTCCAGTTGGAAATGCGGACGAGCAACCGGGCGCGTCGGGTGTAATATGGCCGGTGAAAAACGGCGACAACGTTCGGGCGATAAATAACGGCGATACGCGCCGTGACGTGAAAAAGGGAAAGTGTAAGTGAAACAAAGGGAATAAAAAGGAGCCGGGACGTGGAGAAACAGAGCGGGACGAAAGGTGGCGCGAGGGGAACATTAACTCGATGGACCGTGCCGCGGGCTTGTATTTGTCTCAATCTTGAGTTGCTTCTTTCAACACGGAAAAAAGGAAACACTGTTCTCCAGCGACTATCCTTCTGCCGTATTCGTGATATATATATATATATATATATATATATATATATATATATATAT